AAAAAAAAAAAAAAAAAAAAAAGAAGAAAAGAGGAAAAAAAAAAATAAGGGAAAAAATTTCCTATATAAATATTAATCGGTCGAAGCAAAAAGCAAGGAGAGACAGTCTACTCTACAGACTTTTTCCATTCGATTCTACGGATTTATGAGCAAGAAATGCTCACCTGCCTGCTTTCACGAGTCGAGAAACATGGAATTGGCATTCGAGGAGCAACATCCTCGTACAAGAAAGGCCAAAGAACAGCACTATTTCTACGCCTGAGATCGTTCTCGATCTTACGCATTTTTTTCTCTTTTTTTAGTTGTTTTTTTTTTTCCCCCAATCATTTTATATCACGTGCTTTTCTCCACAGCTCTGGACGAGCTTTGATATGATCATTTTTTTCTTCTTTTATTTCCCATTCGTTTTATTTCCTTTATTGTTTTAACTAATCCCCCCCAAAAGAGTCCCTATCGAAACGCACATTGTTCTCTGTTCCCTCTTTTCTTCGCTGTTTTGCTGCGGAAACATTACGAAATTTGTTCTTTTATTCGTGGCAAATCGTAAAAAAAAAAAAAGAAAAAAAAAAGAAAAAAAAAAGAAAAAAAAGAAAAGAAATTCATGAATTTTACATGTTCAAGTTTCTGACAGCTGAAGGTGAAAGATCGAAAAGTTTAAAATATCAATGGAAAAATGTAGCGATAAAATCGAAGGAAGGGAGAGATTATCGAGTGATGAATTGAAAACAGAAACGACGAGAGAACTAAATCTATAAAAAATATCGACTCATTATAATATGCGATACTTTTTGTATATAACATATTACTTTACTAAAACAAAACAAAAAAAAAAAAAAAAAAAAAAAAAAAGAAAATAAGAGAAAAGAAATCGTTAACGATATCATTTCCCTTTCCTCAATCGCTGCCCGCCACCCGTCTATTGCTGCATTACGATTATCTTTAATTATGATTAACTATCGTATCGATTAAGATTTTGCATTGATCGTATACTTATCAATTTTACTGATCGAGCGCGTAAAAAGTGTTCGTAATCTCTTTTTCTGCGATGTAACTGTTAAGCGTGTAAGAATTCTAATAATAGAGAGTGATAAACTACTAAGCTATTATACAAGGCAACTCTGTTTTGGAAATATCGCTATATAGTACGAGATGTTGAATCAAAAAAAAAAAGGAAAAACTTGCAACGAAGTCTGAGGATGCGTTTTTTTTAGAAAATAGGTAACGCGTTTAACCGGAAAAGGACGTAATTTGGTTCTTAAATAATAAGAATGGCCAATGTATTAGAAATTATATTACGTATATACATCACTTCTAAGGACATATAAAAAAAAAGAAAAAAATCACACGTTATGATCATCTGCGAGAAGACAAAAGAAAAAGAAAAAAGAAGAAGAAGAGGAAGAAGAAGAAGCAGCTTAATAGGAAGAAAGTTTTATTACTTATACGTACGAATCGAAATGTTTAAATTAACAAACATTTAACAAAACATCGAACATCAAGTTCGAACTTTCAAAAGTGAACACTAATACAATGGTCTCTTCGCGCGGGTCGTTCGAAGCAGAGTCTTAGAAGCAAGAAAGCAAAGTAAAAAAAAAAAAAAAACAAAGAAATTCGTTCGTAAATTAATACTAGCCCGAAGTCAATCCTGTTTGCATTTTCTCGAGCTCTGCAAAGATTCATCTCGTTTCCTCTGAAACTTTTTATACGTTGGGTTCGTCGGCGATAGGACGCAACAAGAGTGTTCTCTTTTTGAAGGTTGCAAACTTGAACAAGCGCGCGGGCGCCAATTTTAAATAGAGATTTATCGCAGATGAGGAAGAAGTGACAATGAAATAATAGAGAAGAAACGAAAAGCCGCCCTTAAGTTAGAGCGAACTCGTCCTCTTTCCCTTCCTCGAATAGAAACTCTCACCACCCTTTTTACCCTCTCTCTCCTTCATACCCTGATACAATATAATACCGTAACCTCGTAACGAAACGGAAATAGAAGAAAAGATACGAAATCATAATCTTAAGGAAAAAAAAAAAGAAAAAGAAAAAAAAAAAAGAAAGGATTTTGATGACGCTACGAAGGGCATTTTTTTTTAACGCATCTCTATTAAACGACCGGCGCCGGTCGACGCGGAGCCGCCCTTTTTTTCTCTTAGGTTTAATAAGCAAAACCAAGCCCCCTCTTTTCCGATGATCCACCCCCCCCCCATCCCCTACCACACNAAAAAAAAAAAAAAAAAAAAAAAAAAGGAAGAAAAAAGGAAAAAAAAAATAAAGAAGAAAGAAATAAAAAGGGAATCTTTTACGTCCGCGTGATCTCGAACAGAGAATCGCGCGTGCATTTTCGTTCGACTCACGATCGATTGTACCGTCTTTTTCGTGATGTCGGGGATGAGAAATGTTCTTGGCAAGCTTCTCTTCCAATTGCAACGATGAATTTGTTCTCGTTGATTTTAATTTACATTCAGTCCATTTTTCTCTGCTATCGATATATTTAACACTTGACGAGGAATTCGATGGTGGATAATTACAAATATCCTTAAATTCTAAAGAAATGTCATTTTATGTATGGTTTTTTTTTTTTTTTTTTTTTTTTTTTNNNTTTTTTTTTTTTTTTTTTTTTTTTTTTTTTTATATATTATTTCGAATTGGCGTCAAACGTAGATAATAAATTTTGAATAGTAGAATGGAAGCGGCACGGAACATTTTTTCATTATACTCCGAGATCGATTTATGTAATAAGAATAACACACGAGAAACAGGCAACAAACAGAGAAACATACATAAATACATATACATACATATACACACACGAAATGCGTGAGAGGGAGAGAAATTGGTGTGTTTAGCGTGTGTGTCTCTGTGTGTGTTTGTGCGAACGCGTGTCGAGGGAAGACACAGATGGAAGAAAGTTCCAGTAATTGTGAATCGGCCGAGGAAAAGAAGAAAAAGAAAATCGAGACAGAGAGAGAGAGAGAGAGAGAGAGAGAGAGAGAGAGAGAGAGAGAGAGAGAGAAAGAGAGGGAGAAAGTGGTGTGCGTGTACAATTAAGATGAAAAATGTATGCATGAGAGAATGGATAAGAGAGAAAGAGAGAGAGAGAATCGTAATCTCGCTCGTATCACGATGTGTGTATTATATAAGATATACAGTTTACAATTATTTGTAATGGATACTTTTTATTTGTCAAATAAAAGTTAGTACAAATGAAGGTAAAGTAGGAATGACATTTTTTTTTTTTTTCTTTCTTTCTTCCTGGCTGGAAAGTGTGGGAATTTCGTCGATCTCAACAACGATGGATTTAAAATCGAGAAAATTCTATAGGTAAATAAGATTCTATTCTTTATTATTTAATTTCTTCTTGATTGTTTTATTTATCGAATCTCTTTTCTACCGAGGAATAATCTCAATATCCGCGGTGGAACGAAGAAATATTTTTTCCATCGGTATCACAGACGATAGTGCGTTTTAATCGACACGTATCGGAAAAAAAAGAAAAAAAAAAAAAAAANAAAGAAGAAGAGATACAAGATCGATGAAAAATGATCGTCCGCGCGATCATGGATTACGATGGAATCGACGCGCTATTTTTTATTCCATGCAATTTTACTTCTAATTCGTTATCACTTCTCTCTAAAAGGTACGTTTCCACTTAAGAATAATCTTTGGTTCGATGAAACACTTGGATCAACGATCTTTGCATCGTCTGGAAAATTTCCAGAAGAAAATAAACGACAATACAAAATGTTTTATCACATTTACATATTTATATATATATATATATATATATATTTCTTCTCGGGATTCTTTGCTGTTCTTCCTCTACCACGATTGAGCATGAAAAGACACGGAGGCAAAAATTGTGCGGCAGGTATTTTTAGATCAATGTCAAACATTCTCTCGAGTTACTCGATTTCTCTCCATTACGCATCCATATTCGAAGGATTTTTAATTTCATTTCATCTCTTCTCGCGTAAATAAGGGGGAATAATAATTTCTAGTTGGAAAACTTTTGTACGTACTTCCCCTTCCTTTCAGAATTCGCATAACGGAATCCATCGATAATTTTCACAAAGATGGAAAAAAAAAAAAAGAAAAAAAAGAACAGAAATCCCCTCGATACGAGGAATCGTGGAGCGTTCCACCCGTGATCGATCTCGCATCCCCGGGAGGAGGGACACTTTTGTTCTCCTCAACAATTCTGATCGTGCTCCTGTTGATGAAAAGTGTCACGGTAAAGGGAGGTTGGCGTGCGATGCATCATCGTCACGTAGGAGGTTGCCGAGGCAGGCGTGGCCGTCGGATTCGGTGTTGGCGTCAACAACGGCGTACCCTGAAGACTAATGACCAATGGCAGCGCGGTCGGGGTGCACAGGCTCATCGCGTTTCGTCCACTTTCCGTCACCGAACGATGTCTCGGCCTTGCTGACCTAGAAAACGTTTCTTCCTTCAGGTACATGCATTAAAGAAGAGTAATAAGCCCGTGGAACGATCGGTCTATCGGGCTTTCATTGCCTACAATACGGGGCCAGGAACGTGCTATGGGATTTAATACCTCCCCTACTTATTCCTCTTCCTCTTCTTCTTCTTCTTCGTGGATATTTTTGCCGAGATTTGTCTTTCTTTCTTATGGGAGCAAGTTTTGTCGAGTAGATACAGGTAAAGAGAATGAGCGATAAAAGGTTTTTCTCCGTTTTTTTTTTTCTTTTTTTACTATTCTTTTTCTAGTTGACGAGGTACGTGGAAAGTTCGAGAGGAAATTAAAGGAAATCGACGAGATCGTTAGTTGCGAATTATCTTATCGATGAAGGTCCAATTATTTCTCATCTAGAGATCGTCGTGTCGATTTTTGAAAGATAGAAATATCGAATACTTTTCAGATACGTGCATATTATCTTTCGAGTACCAATCACTTATCTCCCTTTCCATTTAACGAACGCGACTACGAACGTTGTCTTGACAAAGTATCGCCAATATTGCAAAAATCCGCGTAAGCCTCGATAAAGCTAAGAAAAGAGCGCAACCAAAATATAAGTTAATAAGAAAAAAAAAAAAAAAAAAAAAAATATCCAAGTTTTCGAATAAATTCCAATCATCCCGAGAAGCACGCACAATCAAAAGTGGTTGTTGATCTATCCTATAGGAACTCACCTGGAACACTTGCACTTCAACAATCTGATGAACGCAGCCCTGAACGTTCTATTGAAGATGGTGTAGATGACCGGATTGATCGTGGAGGACACGTAGCCGAGCCACAGGCATACGTTGACCACGTGTACCGGCACCGAGCACTCGGGACACGCGGCGAAAAATATGTTCAAGAGAAAGAACGGGGCCCAGCAGAGCACGAACATGAAGAAAACCAGGCCCAACACCTTGCTGGCTTTCTGCTCCGTTGCAACGGCGTTCGCGGCCAACGATCTCCTCTTCGTTCTACCGGGGAGAAACCTGAGAACACGGGGGATATAGCTTGTGTTTGCCCTCCGGATTCGAAAGTCAGCCGAATCGACCGCCATTTGCATGTGCAAATGGGTTTCCATGCTCGGGGGGTTAATCCCATAGAGTGAACGCGACTCGTTCCACACGTTGAACGCACAATCCTGTGTGTGCCGGGGGATTTCGGGATACGAACAACCTCTCAATTTCGCGATTAAACTTTGCCAACCTAGTGAATCGCGACAAACATCGGGGATAACCCGAGGATCGCGATATCGAGCCGCGTTGAATAGTTAATTTCGTTATAAACGAACGATCGAGGCAAACAGCGAGACAAATACTTTCAATACTTTTTGGAAATAAACTAAATCGTGTACGGACGAATCGTGCTTTAATCGCGAAAGCAAGGTTGTTGAGCAAATTGACGAGAGAGAGAGAGAGAGAGAGAGAGAGAGAGAGAGAAAAGGAATTCGAACCTGAGATTCAGGGTGTTGGGAGTGACGTTTAATTGGAGCTTCAAAGCCTTCAGAGTGAAATTCCTTGTTTCACGGGCGATATTCTCAGGCGTTTGCGTCGCTTGATCCACTTTCGTCGCCAGTCTCGTCGTTCCGCTTCCGGCCGGGTTACTCGCCCCGTTCACGGCGAAATTCAACTGCGGTTGAGACTTTGCGGCCGACCTTGCCCCCCTGCACCTGTTATGTTTGCGACGGTACAGAGCCTCCGCGTTTAATTTGGTTAAACTGGAAAATTAAACGGTTGTTCCGTGGCAACAAGTTATCACGACGAATCGCAGCACACGGCCCTCCTCGCGGACCGTATATATACACACACACATACACACACACGCTACATACGTTTCGTTGTTTCGAAATTTTATTCCAAATTTCTTTCTTCTTTTTTTTACCGAAATATGCAAGAGAAAAATTGATATCTGACTGCACGAAATTGCATCGTGTTTAGCGGACCAGAATAATTTCAGAACGAATAAATTAATCGCGTTATTTATAATTTTCACCGTGATCGAGACTTCGTCGCTTCTTTTTTCTTTTTTTTTTTTTTTTTTTTTTTTTCATATTTTGCCTCGCTAATCGTATCCCTTAATTTCCTTTCCAATTAAGAGGGGAAAGTTGAGTGAAATAGGACCAAAAAAGATTTTTAATTCCATTAACGCGATTGAGTCGGTTAAAATATGTTCAACAGCGAAATTTACGTCGCGTTAGATTAATTGGATTAAAGGTGTACTCGCAGTCGGGATAAATTACGATTTCTAATTGCTTCCACGATTTCGTCCCGTTATCGAGAGGGAAAATTCCAAAACGAAGATTTACACGCGATTCTAAATCCTCCCCACTCGTTATTTCGTTATTTGTTTGTTCGTTACGCTTACCTGTCGCTTCCGACACCGCCGGAAGTCCTCCACGTGTACCGCGATGACGAAGAGGTGCCGGTTTCCACGGTCGAAGTGGCGGTGGAAGAGGCCTTGGTCGAGAAGTATCTGCCTCCCAGCCTTCGAAACTGATCTCGTTCGGGATGTTCCGCGATGAAACGAGCTTTTTGCCTGAGCAGCTGCACCGTCAGAATGTAAGTGGCTACCATGACGATCATGGGTATGTAGAAGGCGATCAGGGAGCCGAACACGAAAAACGCTCTGTTGTTGATCACGCATGCCCCCGGCCGTGGCATAATATTCAGAGGATTTATTATGCCTGGGGAAAAAGATTGTTACAAATAATAAAATTAACCTATTGGATGAAGGAATTTGGTAAATTATTCAACGCGAATGATGTTTGAATATGCGACAAATCCTATCTAAATTCTCTATCTGGATCAAAACCAAGGTCACTTGAAGCGTATATATAACCTTTTCGGCGAACACATTCAGTACAACGTTCCATTGCCTGCGTAATTTGCTTCGTTTTATTTCAAATCCGCTACGCGCGTAATTTATAGCTATTTCGATAAAGAGAGACATTTATTGAGACATAATTGAGAGACATAATTGCACAAGGATTTTAGATTTTCTCTAGATCCAAGACTTTTACGAGTACTTTTAAAAGTATTAATTTAATCGGTGAATAAGAGTGATCCGAGAACAAATGTGCAAATGTGAAAAATTAGGACGGAAATTTGAGGATTAAGAGATTGTTCATTCAAAAAAAAAAAAAGAAGAAGAAGAAAAAAGAAAGACAATATTGGAAAGATACAATGCAATCTTTCTCCTCCCCCCTCCCCGGATCTCGCGACTCTCAAAAAACGAGGCGCCCGTTGGGCAAAACCGTAATCGTTTATCGACCAGTCCACGGTCCCGGCTCCACTGTATGCGTAAATAGTTTCGAATATCGAGCAGCCTTTGTTTCGGATAGAATGGCAAGAAGAAGAAGAAGAGGAAGAAGAAGAAGAAGAAGAGTTCGCTTACAAGTTTCCCATTTAACCTGCCGCTCCAAGGAAACGCTTTCCTTCCGAATATCCGATCCGGTTTTACGATTACGATCGTATCGATCTCTTTTTCCCAATTTCGATTATTGTTTTCCCGAACGAACGAACGAACGATTCGTCCTCGATTATTCCGTCGAATCTAATGCGTAAAGGACGTGTAAAATCTCATTTTACCCAGAACCGTGATCGAGCTGGAGACCAACATGGCGAGCAACCACACAGCCGCTATCTTGAAGCCGACCATCCGTTTGGTGGACGTGTGCCTCGTCCGCAAAGGATTCCGGATGCCGAGATACCGGCCCAACGAGATGAAGCACATGTGCATTATGCTCGCGGAACAGGCCAGCACGTCGCACGTCACGTACACGTTACACCACATCACTCCGAATGGCCAGTACCCTGCAACATTCAACGTGATCCTTTCATCGTAATTTTAGAGACCGATTTTTTGATTATGGACTCAACGGAAAAGAAAGAAATTAACGAATAAAAAGACAAGACGATTTTATAAATTTCAATTCCATTGAAACGAAAACAAAAATGAACGATCGATATCGTTCCGAGCCAAATTTTATCCATTCATTCTCGAGCTGCTTATTTCAATGCAAAAAATCTATTATTAACCGGGCACTTTGATATATAAATAACTGAGGAACAGGTATATCAATCGTATTCCAAATTATCCAACTCGGCCAACCGAGTATAGTTTAATCTATCCTTTCTTTTTTGTGATGATCTTGGTGATGTATCGCAAAAACAAGCTTCTTTTTGAGAAAGAAAAAAGAAAGAAAGAAAGAAAGAAAGAAAGAAAGAAAGGAAAAAAGAAAGAAAGAAAGAAAGAAAGAAAGAAAGAGCGCGTCCATTTCTTATCATAACGTCTCTCCTTCGAGAATTTCCACACCCTATAATCCAATTTAATCGTCCACGCGAGATGCGAAACGCGCGAAAACAGCGAACAACAGTTTACCAGACACGTATTAAGGGATTCAATTTCATTTCGTATTCCGTAATTCGTTCAACTCGTACGCGTGACGCATGGCTTTACACGAAAGCGAAAGAGCGGTTATATCTTCTTTTTCATTTCGGTGATCCTTAATCAACCTTCTGTCGGGATACGAGGCCAACTCGTTTTCAATTATCGTTGGTCAAATATGTATGAATATTTTTTTTCTTTTTTTTTTTTTTTTTTTTTTTCACGCAAAGTCTTTTGCAATTTTAGAGATGCATTCCGATCCATCCAAACGAGCATTCCAAACTCGAAAGCGTACAAAATGCCACGAATGTAAACCAGCTGTTAACATCGAGGTCCTTTGATGTTGCCCGTTTTCACGTGCATCTTACGAGTTAAAATTAACAGGCTCGCGCGTTTAACCGTAAAATCGAGTAAATTCCAGTGGTAGTTTAACAATTAGTTAGAATAGAGCGACGAAGACGAGCTTTCCAGAGGGAGAAATCAAAGCGAAACGATTTCGTTTCGAGCGTAAACAAATGATTTTTCCAAGCGAGAAATGATCTCAGATTGAAGAAACAAGATTCGAGATCGAGCGTTGAAATCAAAACGAGAATTTTAATTTCCGATTTCTTGGAAGAAATTTTCAAGAATAAAGCTGTGTTTCTTCCCGAGGCTTTATTTTAATTATTTCCATTGGAGAGTAATTCTTTTTTTTTCTTTTTTTTTTTTTTTTTTTTTTACGTTTTGACCGCTGAAGAAATTCGAGTTAAAAAGCTTATTAAGAAAAAGAAAAAAATGTCGAATTCGAAAGGGGGAAGCAAAGAGGATGGAAAAACGAAAGAGAAGTGGCAATAACGCGAAAGAATCGAGAAGGTGGTCTGGTTGAAGGACACGGAATATCGGCTTTCCGGCCGGAGATCACGAATTCGTATTCCATCGAGCTTCCTTTCATTTTTCCTCGTCTCGATATACCCTGCATTATCACTATTGCCTTATCATTTCCCCTATCGCTAACTATGGATAAAATCGACGCGATACACTTAACTCGTATAATTTTGCATCTAATGAAATTCCTCGAGAGAGCGGAATCGTCTCCAGGTCTCCTCGAAATTAACAATGGAATCATAGATATTCGTTGTGACGGGGTGACAACGCGGGATTAATTGCGCTTTCCAGATGAACGAGTTGAAACGCGACAAATAAACGCGAGGCGAGAACGGTTTTAACAAGCTTTAAGAGGAAGAGAGGCGGGTATAAAAGCGAACGAGAATAAAATTTCAAATTTCGTTTACCATTATACGAATCTTCAATTTTATCCGGAATAAAATCTCGTCACTTTGAACTTTCAACCGGTATGCATTATACACCGGTATCATTTACATTTCATCTCTCGGTATTTACGAGGTCCTGGATCGGGGAAAGCTCCTTATGGAATGGAAAAATTTTTCCCAAGTATCGAATGGATAACCCTCCTCCTGGTTTGATATTAATGTTTACTCAGCGGAGCGGAAATCGAACTTTTACCGATATATCCTTGAAAAACACTTAAAAACTTTCTCGACTATATGTGAAAATACCCCGTACAAAACTTAATATCGGCTTTTAATCTTTTTCTATACATAAACTTCGTATTCTTTTATCGTTACGTCGGATTTCTATGATTTCATTATAAGGACAAGTTTCCATTCCATAGAAGTAAAAAAAAAAAAAACAAGATCAACCACAAATCTTTTACAAATCAACAACTTTAACAACGAATTCTTTCGCGTCGAAAAATACTTTTCGCTTCGTCAAAATTTGCTCATTCCGTCTCGCCCGTAATTTGGATCCAAATTGAAAGATTCCTCGAGAAAAAGAAGAAAGAAAGAAAGAAAGAAAGAAACGGAATAAAGATTTTTAAAGATTTGGCGGAGAATCGAGATAGGGAAAAATCCGATATGTTCTCGATATGTATATTCGTTCGCGGAGCGTGTATCGTTGCGGAGAAACAATTTCGTGGACGAGCACGATATGCATATTCGCGACGACGAAGGGGGAGGGGATAGCCGCGATGGAAATGCAATTTTCGTCGCCTCGCTCGTTCGTACGGTACGACGTTCACGTAGAGATTCAACATCCTTTGTTATTTCCTTTTCCATCTCTCGATAATAATCGCGATCCCGAAACGATGACACGTTCCGCGTGATAAACGCATCGACGGACTCGAACACCCATATTTATTTCACGACAATTCGACTTTTCATTCTACCGATATATCTCGCTTTTAAGTGGAAGAGTCGAATCGAAAAAATTTTGAAAATTTCGCGATACAATAGCGTGTAATCTATATTTGTAATTAGAAGAATTAATTAATTTGTCGAAAGGGGAAAAAATAATCGTAGCGAAGCACATTAAACGAAATCAAATTAATGTGTAATTAAACGATTGTAATTCAAGTTAATTAAATCTCTCGAAGTACGTCGATAACGATTCTCGCGTTATCGATAAACTTTCGCGAAAATAAATAAAGAAAATCGAGGCTCATAAGTAGATGACAGAGAGAGCTCTTATCTGTCAGCCGGATAATGGCGAGTTGAGTTTCACTCAACGTGTGGAACATAGATTAAAATTCCATCGTTCATCGCGAGATACATACAATTTCTCGAGATTCTTCGATCGAAATTATAGATCGAGATTTATAATTTGGCGAAAATCCCTCGTCGAAGTGCCGATTAATATTTCAATATTAACGGTGTAAGAAAGAAGAAGAAGAACTAGGTTAACGATCAACCTAGATTGATAGATTTTAATCAAGACCAACCAACTTTTATCGGGTTAATCGTCTTAACTGTTATCAAGCTTTAAAAGAACCGATCGACTAATTGTATTACGAGTCGAAATTAATTCGTTGTTGATTCGTGATCAATGACGATTAACGACGTTCAAGCGCGATTCCAAACTACGAGAAAGGGTGAATCGTTCCTCGTGAAATATGAGTCTTGAGGAGGCGCGCGAGTATAGAGAATATATATATATATATATATATGAATGGATAATGAAACGTCTTGGAGATGTCTGGAAATGGAATCCCCTTTCTCCTTTCGGCTCATACGCGTTATTATATATCGAAAAATCTATGCACATCGAATGGTTATCGTCGAATGGCCGTCCATGCTATATTTACGATCATATATATGCGAATTTATCCGACAGAATGTATTTTATATCTGTACTTGGCCAAGCAGTTGGATAAGCAGCATTTACTAAAATTGTACACGCTGATAAATGTCGGATGGGCGCGCCGTTATTTGTGATGCTGCGAGTGGATTTTATACGATTCAAGTAAGGGATATTTCGTTTCGTATATTTGTATCGTTTGTAAAAATATAAAGATAAATTCTTTTTTGCGCGACGTGAGAAAAATTTTCCTCTAGTGGAAAAATTTTCTAGAGCGCAAAATTATTAAGAATTATTAAGAAAATTGCGAAACGATATAAATTTTGGAGATTGGTGATTTCTAGTGTAGCTAAAGAGATTTAATCTTCGCATTTCTTCTTTTCCTCCACGTACTCGTAAATTAACGCGAAGAATCAAAGTGTCTTTCAGGATTTTAGAATTTAATCAAAGGACTGTGCATACGTATATCTCTCATCTCCTTTTTTTCCAATTCTCGAAAATCTCGTAGATGATTTCGTTTATTCGTCGAACGATCCTTTATCAAGAATCGTATCGAGAATTTAACGAGATTCAGATGTTGCGATCGTAAAAAATTTGTTTTTCAAGTTGTTCGTTACACGGGGAGAGCCTATAAGAAAATAAGGCAAGGGCCGAGCGAGTCTATCGGACTCGGATACAGAATAATATTTTGGAGGAAGAGATTGGTTTTAAGAAGGGGATGATTTTTACAGGGGAAATGCCATAACTCGTTGATGATCTTTTTTTACGATTATGGCCGCTAGAAGAAAAATGAACGACGAATATTTCAGGAATAACTCGGATAAGTAGAATTGGCGCGAAATATAAAAATATAAATATACAGCTTCTATATACAGATTTTCTTTTCTATTCAAGCGTATTTTGTATTCTTATAAACTTGAAGTTTTATTCTTTTTTTCCACTTTAATTTTCTTTTCTTTTCTTTCTTTCTTTTCTTTTTTTTTTTTTTTTCTAGAAAAATCAAAGCTTTTTACATAAAGTTTGGTCATACCCAATCGTGATCGTAATCCAGGGGGAAAAAATTATGCGGGTTTCGTTCAACCTCGATCTTTCTCCTTCGATGAGAGCAATTTTTATTCACCTTTGTTGCTCGAAACAAGGATAAAATTTTCGATACGGTAATTTCTTCACCGAGAGAATTATCTTATCGCCGATTTTTGTTTTTTTATCCGAGTCAGCGATACCGAATACTCCTTCAATCTCTCGACTCGTTATTTTCGAGATCCTCGAAGAACACCCTCGAGTATAGAGT